TATGCCTTTGGTCGCTTTTCCTATTATGTGTTCAATGTGCATGTTCCAATTGAGGTTGTGAGTGTATATTACGCCTAAATATTTGACATGTCTTTTGTCAGGGATCAATTGTCTGTTTATGTAAATGGAAGGGGGATTGTGAAGGGGTTTGTTTTTGGAAAACCATATGCATTCACATTTGTTTGTAGACAATTGAAAGTTGTGTTCTTTCATCCATTGTTGGATGTCATCTAGTACTATGTTGGCTGATATAGCCATTTGCTGAGGGTTATTATTCTTTATTAATAAAATAAGATCATCTGCATAAGACAGTAACGTCATGCTTTCAGGAATTATTGAATAAATTGATTTTATGTAAATGTTGAATAAGATCGGGCTCAGAGGGGATCCCTGAGCTATTCCGCTTGATGATATTTCTGGTCCATGGATAAATCCATTTCTGTCTTTAATGTATAATTGCCTATTCTCTAGTATTTTATATATGAGATTGGCCATGTCATCATGTATGTTTAGGTCAGAGAGATGTGAGTACAGTTTTTGTATGTTCACATGATCATAGGCTGATTTGATGTCCAGAAATATGGCCAGAACATTCTGGTTATTGGAGAATGCAAGTTGTATGTATGAGGTCAAGTATGCTGTGTTTTCCTGTATGCCCATTCCTTTCCGAAACCCAGTTTGATGTATGTTGAGGAGTTTTTCATTTTCTACTTTCCATTCTATTCTATTTTTTATCATGGACTCTAAGGTTTTTTGAACACATGATGACAATACTAAAGCACGGTAGCTGTCTGGTAGATTTGGATTTCTCAGTGGTTTTGGAAATGCTATAATCATATGTTTTTTCCATTGTTCGGGGATTTTCCCTCCTGTTAGGCAGTTGTTGAAAAATTTTAAGAGAGTATCGAGGGCTATACGAGGAAGATTTCTGATCATTGAGTAGGAGATATTGTCCATTCCTGGAGCTGAATCTTTTTTTCCATGGAGCACATTCTTCATTTCCACCATTGTAAAGGGATTAGTGGTTGTGTTTTGTTGTTGAAATACAAAATTGGGATCAATGTTACATGTTGTCAGTGTGGTTAGTATGTGTTGACATATGATTTCATTTGGTGCTTTCTTATTGCTAGTCCCATTGTGTGCGTTGTAGAATTTTCTAATTGTGTTCCATACCTGGCTAATATTTGAATTTCGGTTAATTGTTGAGCAAAATGTTTGGAAGCTCTGTTTCTTTCTTTTTTTGAGGAATCTTTTAGTCTCAGCAATTATTTTTTTTGATTCAATATAATTTTCTATTGTTGGGTTATTTTTGAATTTGCTTATAGCATTTTTCCTTTCTCTGATTTTGATGGAGCATTCTTCATCCCACCAAGCGCATCCTATTTTTTTAAATTTATTAGTGTTGTTTGTTTTTTTTGTTGGGATGGCAACTTCTGCTGCTTTTTCTATACTTTCTATCAAGCTATCATATTCTATGTTATTGTTGCTAATCGATATAGTGATATGGTCTGCAAACATGTTCCAGTCAGCTTTCTTAAATATTCTTTTGCTTTTTTCTTCCATTATTTCAAATATCATCTGATGATTATTTTTGTCCATGGTTATTTCGCAACAAGTGGGGAAATGGTCGCTGTTGCCACAGTCTGGAAGAGTTCTCCAATGGCATTGTGGTGCAGTATCATTTGAGACTAGCGTTACATCGACTGGGCTTCGACGTTGTCCTGGGGCAGTCATTCGGGTGGGGGACCCGTCGTTCATTATAATGAGGTTATGATCTTCAGCTATGTCACTTAATATTCGTCCATTAGGGTTGTTTATTTCACTTCCCCATGCTTGGTTATGGGCGTTGAGGTCTCCCATCCAAATGACTGGTCCATTGAGTGAATTCAATAGTCTATTAATTGTGGTTACTGACAATCTGTTTGTTGGGCTAGAGTACATATTGATTAAATTGTATCCATGTATTCTGATTGCCTGTGTTTGAAATCTGTTATTTCTACCGATGTTATCAAGTTGTATTTCATTGTATTTGATGTTGTTTTTTACTAAAGTGGCTATTCCTGTTGTTCCATTTTCTACGTCTTTGCGTAATATATCATAGTGTCTGATTTGAAATGTGTGATGAGGTTTCAAGAAAGTTTCGTTTAAAAAAATTATGTCTGGTTGTTCATTTCTGATCAGACCTATCAGATCGCTTCTATTAGAATTCATGCCGCGGATATTCCATTGCAAAATTCTAATAGTTTTGGTGTTCATATTTTTTTGTTTTTGTTTTTGTTTTGTTTAAAATTCGGACTCATCACTGTCTTGTGACAGATCAGAGGCCTGTTGATGTTTGATGATTAGATCTATTATTTTAGATTTGAGTTCCTTTGGGATTGTCAAAAATTTGTTGAAGTATTTATCAATTATTGATGTTTCAGATTGTTGCGAGGCACTAGAAGGCATTGTGGAGTCTTGTGTGTTGTGGCTAGTTTGAGGTAGTTGGTTGGTAGGGTAGGGAGATTTGAAATTGAATTTTTCTCGTCCATTGGGAGAAATAAGGCATTCATTATATGCATCTCTGTCAAATGGTTGTGTGAAGTTCGGTTTTTTTATTGGTGGAGATTTGGTAACTGAGACATATGATCTTTTCGATCGTATCATTTGGCTGCTAGTTGCCACTGTTCTTCTTTGATTGACAGCTATTTGATTGTCCAGAGGATTATTTCGTTTGGCTAATCTTGGGAAAGTGTTGGGGTGTGTATTAATGGTTGGGTGTTGGTGATCATGGTTTTGTGTTTGATTGTTATTTTCACTTACTGTGTATGTTTTTGGATGTAGTTTGTTTGCTTCGAAATAAGAAATATTGTCAAAAGCCATGGTCTGTTTGATTTGTTTTTGTCTATCATATTCCGGGCATGTCCTATCTAGGGAATTATGTTTCAAGCTATTACAGTATAAACATTTCAAAGTGCAATCTTGAACAGTTTCATCATGTTGATTGCTGCAAGTGTGGCACCGATTTTTACTTCGGCATTGATATTTTGTGTGTCCATATCTCAAACACTTATAGCATTGTGTTACTGGAGTGACATAGGGTACTGTTGGGTATGAAAGATAGCATATTTTAACATCTGTTGGCAAAATCACACCTTCAAAAGTTATAAGGATTGTTCTAGTGGGTACATATTCCACAACATTGTTTTCTTTTAATGTTTTTCTGTTCATACGTTTAATTTCCAAGATTTTGAATGGGCTTTGGCACATGTCTTTTAATTCGTTTTCAGAAAATATTGTGTCTACATTTCTAATGATAGCTTTGCAAGTTACTTGATTTCTTGGAATATATATGTTGTATCCTTTTTCTTTCAGAATGTGATTATTAACAAAGTTATTTGCTGCTTTGTAACCACTGAATTCTATTCCTAATTTGTTAATTCCCTTATTTTTTATTTTATTTAGATCTTTTAATTTCAAATTAAAAATTTCTTTGGCTATTTTCAAATGATTATATTTTCCTATATTGTTGCCTGATTGTTCGGTTGCTTCAATCATAACCAAGAATGGTCCAATGGCATTAGCATAATAGTATAAGTTTTCTGGCGTTTTCCTTTTATCTTGTTTTTCTGCCTCTGGGTTTTTTTCCGTTTCTGTTCCAACTATTATATTTCTGACAGAGTTTGGCGATAATATTCTCATATCAATGTCAGGGTCCGGAGGATCCGGGGTAGGGGGGAGGCCCCCTGTGTCGGCAGACATTATTTATCAATTGTGATGAACCTTATATGTTTGCTACTGCTCTTATCAGTACTAGAATAGATTAAACTCACCAGTAATTTTGGAAGGAAGGGTTGGTTTGAACAGAGGTTCGGTTGGTTAGTATACACCCGTTTGTCGAATTGAGCGGCTCTCAAAAGACGTGCTCTCTCTTCGGCGATCGGTCAAAAAGTAGTGTTGGGCATTTTAGTTCACTTCAGAGATCGCTCAATTTAGTTCGTTCTCCATTGGCGAACTAGTTCACTCTTCTAGTTCATTAGTTCGTTTCGTTCGCCGATCGCCGCGCAGACACGTAACGACCGCAGCGTAGAGATACTACATGGATCGCAGTCGCAGAACGATTCTACTACGAACTACGAACTGCGAACGCTGTGAAATGACAAAAGTGACCGGCCGGGAAGTTGAGCGGTTCGCATTACACGATCCCAATCGCTGAATCGCTTGTTCATTTGATGCAAGTCTCGGTCCTCTCGCTCGACGCTCGCACGCTCGGCAGTGACAGAGAGATGATCGGTCGGTCTGGTCGGTCAACGTTTGCATTTTTCAGTGAACTAACGAACTGAAACCCAGATTGACAACGAACTAGTTCGCGTAGTTCACCTCGGGGAGCGCTCTTTCGAACTAGTTCGTTCGCGAACTACACAAGACTATCAAAAAGTCTAAATAATGCAGGATCATGAATGCAGGTTATGTTGAATAGCTCATTTGACACAAGAAAAAGATGACGCCACTTGCCGTCCCTTCAAAATTTCATTACAGGGCGATTTGGCGATTTTCGCTGAATGAACAGTCATGTATAACCCGTCAGACAGTCCATTTAGCCGTCATTGGCTATACTAAGGGATGTGAATCATTCGATCAAAATGTAGTTCGATCAATTGCAATTTGGATTCATTGATTTTTCGATCGAGTGATTTTCGATCGAATGATTTTTCGATCATTTGTTTTTTCGGTCGATTGATTTTCGATGAAATGTTTTTCGATCATTTGTTTTTCGATCGATTGGTTTCGATCAAATTTCCGGCAACCGTTTTTTTCTCCATATTCAGCAGACAATGTGAAGGGCCTGGATTATTTCGATTCCCCGATCAGACTGAAGCCATCATATTTTCTACAGTCCTGCCGTGAGATACTTGTCGGAGCCGAAAGCTTGTGTCACTGAGTCATTGTCGATTTGTCAATGTCATTACCCAATTGACAATTGACATTGTACGTCATTCTTCTCACTGTGTTTTTTGTTTGTAAATAATAATTATATTATTATTGTTATTATAATTGGAATTTGTTGGAAATTTTTAAATTTATACCAATTATGGCCGATGAAGACGAGATAGATATCTTGGGTGATTTCAGTTTGGATATTTTTTCGTCGAGAAACGAAACAAATACGTATGTTCCATTAGTTCACCACTGCATGCAACAAATTAATCTTAAGAATTATTGTAGGTATGACAATTCCCTAGTTTCAGAGAACTCCGATCTCTTGAAATGTGATTATACTATTCATCCGCAATGGCTGTTGGATAGGCCCAGTGCCAATCCTGATAACTGGTATAATACCAACATCCCAAGCTTATCTCAATCAGAAAATGATGCATTAGGACTCATCTGCACCCAGAATAGCATAACTGATGAAAGTGGATGGACAGAAAAAGAAAAGAGCCTTCTCGAAAGGGGTATTGAGATATTTGGCAAGAGCAATGATAGGCTGTCACAATTCATTGGATCCAAGACAGCATCTGAAGTGAAGTATTACCTGAAGAACTTTTACTCTGAGCATCAAACCAATGCCAATCTGAATGAAAGCATTCTTGAACATACTATCAATACAAGTTTGGTAACTGATGTTCTAAATGAAAACCAAGTAATTATATCCCAAGACCTTGAGGCTATTTTAACTATTCAACTATTGTATTGTATAATTTAAATTTCAGATACCAGCTAGTGTTGAAGAGGTTATTGCTACAGTGAGCACTGCAAAACCAACCATTCAGACATTCAACCACAAAAGACAAAGGAGAAGTAGTTTGAGAGGTTGCTTCAATACAAATGATTTGAAAAAATCAGTTTCTTTTTCAAAATTTCATCATGACAGATCCAATGCACCATCAAAACAACACAAAAAGAATTTGATGATGGAAAGGAAGACAACTAATTTGAAACCATCCAAATTTAGGGAAAGAGTAAAGATGAAAATGTCCTCCTGTGTTAGCACCAGTGGAATAAAGCAAAAAATTGTGAAAATTAGTAATGAAAGTAGCAAGCAGAGTGAGATTAAGAAAGCTGTGATCACCACTGGTCAAGGACTATCTGTGCCTATTTGTGAAGGAGAAGAAATAGTAAGTAAACAAATTTAAAAAAATACCATTTTCCAAATTAAACAATAAAACAAAGAAAGTGTATATGCTGCCTATACTTTTTCTCTAGACTGCTGACCATTCAGTAGAATACATTCTTTTTGTATTACAAAAATAACCAAGACAATTAGTAGCTCAGTGGTTAGACATTGGCTTATCAATCTTGTGGTCCCCTGTTCAAATTCCATGGAATAGTTTTTTTTTGATTTTTTTTTTTTCAATCATTTTTTTTATAAGATTTTTGTTTCACTAATGGGTTAGTCTGTTTGGGTTGAGTATACATCACTTTCTTTTTATATATACATATATTTTTTTCAATCTAGTTTTTCCTTCCTCCATTGTTGGTTCACAGTATTTTTGATCAGGATTTTGTTCCACCAATAGATTAGGGTGTTTGTGTAAGTATACCTCATTTTTTCAGAAGTATTTTATTTTAGTGGCTGCCATCCTGAAAAAAGAGTATGTCTGCCTAAAGGTCCATATCCTAAAAAAAAAGTATAGTTTGCCAACTGGTCAGCAGTCTATACACTTACTAAATGAAACCTGTTTTTATTATCACAGCTAGTTTGAACACTTTGTAATCAGATTCCCAACAAAAATCTTACAAACATCTTTAACAGAGAGAACAAATGAAGTAGAACTTCAACTATGAACTGAATGACAAAAATACTATTACTACACTATCATTACTATACAGCATGTCTCATTTCAAACGGCCCCCCCCCTCTATATCTCAGCTATCAGTCTTGTGATCTTTACCAGATTTGTATCAGTATGAATAATCATCAATATGACCTGTTATTCAAAGACAAACATCATTTTAGACAGTGCCGTGCGTGTTTATTGAAATGAATAGGGGTCAGTTTTTTATTAAATCATATTAGGCATTCTTTAACAGGAAAACTGACCTCATAATATTGTTCTTCATGGTTTCAAACCCACATATGTAAACCCTATGAAGGGTTTCAGAGAAACAGGCACATCTAAACAGCATTTTTAGGAATGTGATAATTATTTACTAGGAAACGGTGAGTTCAACACAAAAAAGTATAACTCGTTTTTCCTTCCAAATCATGATTTTCCACCTACCGGAGCCATTGAAAGTCCCAAAATTCGTAGTTGATTTGAAGTCACTATTTATTTGAGACTGAAAATGAAAAAAATGAAGTCAATCCTGTTAATTTGGAATCAGGTGATTTTTTGCATATGGAGGTTTGAAAGCATGAGGAACAATTATATGAGGTTAGATTTCCTTTGAAAAAATGCCTAATATGATTTTATGAAAAATCGACCCCTATTTAGTTCAATAAAAACGCACGGCACTGTCCAAAATAATGTGCATCTCTGTAAAACTGATCATATTGATGGTTATTCATACCACACCTAATTTGGTTGGAATTGCATGACTAATAACTGAGACGAGAACTGAGATATAGAGGGGGGCCGTTTAAAGTGAGACAGGCTGTAAAATTATTTTAATGTTCAGTATTGTCAATATTTCAATGGTTTTCTGTTCAAGAAAAATCTGTCTTTTTTTATAAAAAATGTAAAAGTCTATTCTTCAGAAATTCTTGTAGTTTGTTCAACTACCTCAAAAATTATTGGGATTGCTTGAATATCTTCAAAATTCTTTATCTTTAGTGGTGGTGAACCAAGGTGAACTCAAACTTGTAAAAACAAATCTGACCTTGTGAATAATTCTAATGGTCAGATATAAGCAAGCAAAACACAAAATGTTTGCATGCTCAAACCATTTCTTCTTTTTATGGAGAAATGTGTTCTTTCCACTGTAGATGAAGTCTAGTAAAATGTCTTGGATTTCTTCATATCCATTAGATTGTCTTCATTTAAACTTTATGTTGAAAAATCTGATTAAAAAAAAATTGATTTATTTTTTTGCCATTGGAATATTTGAAATTGAATAATGAGATATATTTTAAATGATGCTACGTTGCCGGTACTACTAGAAAGTAGCAACAACATTGATTTTTCAATTGGAACACCCTGTATTTCATTGCATTTTTAGATATTCCCTGAAAAGCTGATTTCATCAATGCATCACACTTTGGGTCTAGCAGGAATTATTACAGAAATATAGGGTTTTCAAAATTGAGATTTTTAACTTTAGGATTTTTTTGTGTCTGAACTATTCATTATTGGTCAAAACGGCTCACAGGTCCCTATCATAACTTTTGATTAACTATCTACTGACATTTAATTGGATTGGAACAGATATAGGGTGGTTCAAGATTCAGGATTCTGATCACCGTGAAAAACCCCTCTGTATACATATATTATACGGGGTGTCCAGAGATAAAACCGACAAAACCTATGGGCCTGCCAATATAATTGCAAAATGCTATTTACAAATTCACAAAACCGCTTCATTACTGATTTGTGGATTCTGACAAAAAATTCAATCTGTCATATTAAATACAGGGATTACCACAGTGGGTTCAAATTTGGTACATGAATTAAACTCAAGAGCTTCAACAAGTAGCTCTTTGAAAAAACAAATATCAGGACTGGAATATTATTATTTTCCTATGTTGAGTTATTGTCAGAATAATTCACCCTGTATAATAATTATCATTAATCTGAAGTCATATCATGGATCTACGGCAAAAATACTATAAGAACAATATCAAATACAATAACAACAATTATTATGTCTTGGTTTCATGAATATTATATTTCTATTTTTGCTGATATTTTATCCGACAATATTAATCAAAAAAATTAAAATAATAATTCATCACGGAACAACTGAAAATGGGCCAGAAACTTTCTCAACAAGTTCCTATAGTATATTTCCCGTAGATTCATAGATAATTATTATACAGGGTGAGTTTTTCTCAACATAGGAGAAAAATAATATTCCGGTCCTGATATTGGTTCCGTTCAGAAGGCTACTTGTTGAAGCATTTGTGTGTAATTCATGAACCAAATTTGATCCCAATCGGGTAAATCTTTTTCGTTATTGGTCAGATAATCTTCCATTTCCACTCATGAAGTAGGGTTGTCAAGTCACCAATTATAATCAAGTCATCAGAAAGAGATATCGGAGACTGGAACCTTTGGCACGATAATACACTATACTACTACTATACCACTAACCAAACCGAAACAGTGTGTAGTGTATCAAAAAGATGATTTAGTCCTGTCGTTAAATAAAACATAATAGGAGGAACCCATGATATTATACTTCATTTTTGACTTTCTCAAGCAACCAAATAATTCTTATTCATAAAAAAATATCATGTAAATATTGAAGACTTGGCAACATTGTGCTGAATGCTGAGAACTGACAAGAAGACGCCCACAAGTCGAGCGCCGGGTTGTCACTTTCACCGATTAAAATGTCCTTTAGTATGAATTAATATAATTATTAGTCACACTTTCACACAAATTTATTATAAACATTAAGCCACAAATCATAAAGGAACATTTTGAGACAGGTGAATTTTTGTTGTTGCTGATCAGGAATATTACCAATACTCAATTGAGAATGTATGAATTATTGAATAACTAATATTTCTGAAGTTCCAAATCGTATTTCAACACATGGCAACTATGCGTGTGGTCTGCCCATACTTAAATATAAAATAAAATCGTGGCGTCAGTTTTTTCTCGGTATCACTAATGTTGTTGATAGAACATTTCCTTCATCTTCGACTCGGAATAATTTTCTATAAACAAAAACATTCGTGACCTTGAAAAAAATTATCGGTTATAATTGCACGAGTGCATGAAAATTACCGATAATTTTACAAGAGAGCGTGTTATCTAAAAATTGCATGAGTTTATTTTATATTTTGGCGAAAGAGTCCGAGTCCAAAGGAGGAGGGTTCTTTTACAAAATATAAAAATAACCGAATGCAATTTGTATAAGATAACAAGCTTGAATGCAGAATTATCTGATAATTTTTATGCATGAATGTAATTCATTGGAATATTTCACGAATAAAGAAATTCTGTCTGTTGAATTTGGTATTTTTTGGCTCACTTTCATTTATACTTTCCTGGATAGTTTGTATGGAGCACTCACCAAAATGCGACATTATTCCCACTTTTTGATGTCCATCTGCCATTCATTTGTATTGTTTACTAACGTCTAGCGACATGGTTTTAAATGTGTTGTTATGACGACGGGATCTCTTCACAGTGCTATCTTCGCTCTGCAGTGTAATTACCGATATATGAGGGAAATATTTGGCATTATTTCTGCTACTAGGGAGATAATAAGTGACTATTCCACTCTTGATCTCGAGAACCAATCAGAATCGACATTTTCACGGTTTCTTCTGTATTCTAGCGATATTTTTTGTTTGGTCAAGATTGCTTTGGATTCAAATCTGAGACAATAACCTAAGTTCCTACTTTATTTTATTTACTTATAATTCGCGTTAGTGAAACGTTTTTGTACGAAAGGCGACACAATTTTATTCTGGCTGGACGTTTCATGTGTAATTTAACAAGTTTGCATATTAGTTGACGGTCTGACACAACAATACTAGAATTCAAATTTCTTTTTAAAGTAATCTTCTTCAATCACTCAAGTTATTGTGACTGATATAATTACCAGATGATGTAGCGCAACTGATAGGGTTGTTGCGCGAAGATACGAAAGTCGATGGTTCGAGCCCCTCGGCGACGATATCTTTTTTTTAAATTATTTCATGTCACATAAATTCAATTTATTTTGTTTGAATTGGATAGCAATTGTATACACTCTTTTAAGAGCAACCACCTCCAAGATAATAAAAAAATACTGTTTATCAAAATTGTACATTTCACTTTGTGAATAACTATAAGTAGGTAGTTAATTTCTAAAAAAGTGAATTCTGTACTTCATTACTATCATTATGTTCTTCTTCGCAGTTGGAATATACTCAAATTATGTTTCCTATTTCTTATATATATTGTCTCATTCAATCATGAAATAGTCATACGAATACAACTCGTGATACTATTTTTCCTGGAAATATTCGTCGATTGACATACTCCAGCTTGCTGCTCTAATTTCGCTCATGACATTGATCCAAAACTACTCGCCTACGGCTCGTAGTTTTGATAACGATGTCATTCACGAAGTTAATAGGCAACAAGCTGTCGTATCAATCACCGAATATTTCCGGCTAAATATTATCACTTGTGGTATTATATATGACTATTTCACTCCTGGTCTGTAGAATCAATCAAAATCGGCCATTTTCACGGTCCCTTATATAGTACAGCGATATTTTTTTGTTTACTAAATTTTATCGGACTTGCTCTACCAATACAAAAGCCCAATTGACGCACACGTGACCAACCTTCCCCTTTTTTCAGCGGTAAAATTTTGGACGTTTAAAACGTCAATTATGTTAGAAGCCAGAATGATGGATGTAGTGAGCGCAACTCTCGCAAGCCGCTCGTTTATTATCTCAATCATGGAATACTCATTCGAATACAACTCGTGATACTAGTTTTCCTGGAAATGGTATCACTTATGAAAATAATTACCGTCTTAGTAGTTTACGAATATATATTTGTATTTTGCAGACCGTTCAAAATTAGACCACCAAACTTGTTCAACAGTTTTCTGGAAGTCCATTTCGTATCATATGAGCGCAGGCGATTTTCAAATGTTGCATTGAAAAATTGACGAAAACTCAACTCCTTTTTCAAACGACAAAAAAGTTGGATTTGATAATGAGTCATTTGAGCATTTCCCGAGGCATTTCCTATACCTAACTCAAACCTTCATTAAGTAATTCGATAAAAACAAGAAATGCTTTATCTTGCTGAGACATGTTTTGCTCTTTCAACCACCTATGCTACAGATTATCCAGACTGTGAAAGCTTTGGTGGCGCCTTTGATGTCCTATGGCTCCAAATTCGTTACCTTGAATGATACCACCGTATACACGGAGAAAAGTGCATCGTTGATATCACATTATGCTTGCAACAACTATCACTAAATTGTAATCCTCGTATTTTACGAAATCGACTTACATTCTATCCACCACCTTATTCAACAAATTACTATTGTAACTATCCCCTTATCAGATGCATGAACTCTTAAAATATGATCTGTGACTATGATATCTTCAGCAACAATATCACAATGTTCGAGAAACAACTCAAGTACATTATATGGTAGAACCAACGTAGGTGATCCATAACTTATAGTGGAGGTGATATAAATCAGGAGGGGTGAAAGAACTTACAGTCACAACTCCACCACATAACCAATTCAATAATGACAAACGGTCATGGACAAAAGGACATGTTTCGAAGGATTGATCCTTCATCATCAGCAAATTCATAAAAAGAAGAAAATCTGTAAGAAGGAAACAACGCTTATTTTAGTTTTTAAGTATGGTTAAATGGTAGGTTGATTCAGACTTTTCAACAATACTTAAATACTTACATAAGCATTGTTTTCTTCTTACAAATTTTCTTCTTTTTATAAATTTGCTGATGATGAAGGATTGATCCTTCGGAACATGTCCTTTTGTCCATGACCGTTAGTCATTATTGAATTGTTTATGTGGTGGAGTTGTGACTGTAATTTCTTTCAACCCTCCTGATTTAAATGGTAGAGCTGCCACTTTTTCTTTAATCCTCAATAGGAGTGGTAGATCAATTAATGATACTTATACAGGGTGGGCCATCAGTAACGCCTTGCTCTCTAGAAGGCTAACCACTCTCCATCTCCATCTCCTTGGAAATCTTCCTCTCTAAGACGTTGCATGTCAACATCATATACGTATTAATAATCAATACGGATAATCTCTATCTGTTTCCATAGCGAAACATGAAGCCGATTTTTGAAGACAAATGACTATCCATAAGGAAAAGTTTTGAAACGATCAGACACATACTGCTTTGATTGAAAGGCTAGTAAACGTCATTGTCCACCGAAACGCATGTCTTTGATGACTACTATAATAGCGCATGACGCATGCGTATCATGCCACCAAATCCTTATGGATATTCATTTGTTTCACATTTTTGGCTTCATCCTGGCACCCGTTATGATCCGTATTGTTTATTAATACGTATATGGTCAACATAGGCTACCATTTGAAACATACAGGGTGTCCCCAAAGAAAGCAATCCACTGAAATTATACGTTTTTCAATAGAACACCCTATATATTATTCTATTTTGAGATTCTCCCTGAGAAGCTGATTTCAACGACCGTACTTGGGGTCTAGCAGTAATAATTACTGAGATATAGGGTGTGAAAAATTGAGATTTTCCAAGTTCAGGGATTGTTCCTGTCGAAACTATTCATAATTATTGGTCAAAATAGTTCACATATCCCTATCTCAATTTTGTATCTACTATCGATTGGTATTTTATCAAAATTGATACAGGGTGGTCGAATATCTTGATACTGAACCACCCAGTATTTGTTTGAATTGAATATCAATTGACGGTGAATAAAAAAATGAGATAGGGACATGTTAACCGTTTTGACCAATTATTGATAATTTCGACACAAAAAATTCTTGAACTCGCAAAATCTCGATTTTCTACACCCTATATCTCAGTAATTATCATTGCTAGACCCCAAGCATGATGAGTCGTTGAAATGAACCCTTCAGGGAAAATATTAAAATGCAATAATTTATATTTCCCAAAAACTCACAATACACTGAAGTTATACTTTTTTTGATGGAACACCCTGTATGTTTGAAATAATTTCAAATGGTAGCCTATGTTGACATGCAACTTCCTAGAGAGGAAGAATTCCAAGAAGAAGAGTGGTTAGCCTTCTAGAGACCGAGGCTTCACTGGTGGCACACCCTGTATAAATATCATAAATTGATCTACCACTCCTATTGAGTGAGTTATAAATTCTTACATTTTGTATAACCTTTAGCGACTAGCATATCTCAAATTGTAAAACCATAATTGAATTATGTTTCACCCTGTAATTGGACAAGTTTTTTGCTCGTCTGTTGGGCCTCATTAATTAAATAAAGAAATATATAAATAAATAAATATCATCGTTCGACCTACACTAACAAAACACGCTTGCACTGTTTCATGATTTATTTTGAAAAACTCGATGGAGATTCGATTTGGAATGTCTGAATAACTCATCTTTACATTCAATTTCTTATTATATGGTGTCAAAAAAATAGATGTCATTCAATATTTTCCAATGCGACATTTGAAAAACGCCCGCGCCCAAAAGGTAATTCACAAGAATGCTTCAAAAAATGTGATAACATACATGGCATTCCGTTTTAAAAAGTGCCCCAACTCTCTAGATAATTTTTGGTTAGCCCTGTATATGCGGCAATAATTTCCAGTTATGGACCTAGCTGTATCATTCACATTCGTTTTTAAATGATGTTTCTAGCTATCATATAACTCGAGCAATCGAGTTCCGACGCACTATTGGTCCACCCTGTATATAAAAGTCGGATAAAAGTATAGTGCATAACTCGCACGGCTACGGCTCATGCTGCAAACTCCATACTAGTGGAAAATCACTGTGATTCATTATTTTCGCGATCATTTCACACACTTAATCACAAAAATAACAATTTCAGGTTAAACTGAAAAGTGCTTCTGAAGAATCGGATACAGACATAGACATTGATGTTGAATTATCAGATGAAGATATTAAGACAAGTAAAATCAACAAAAAAATACAAACCTGTATTGAAAAACCTGTTGTCACAGAACAACAGAAAACAGAAAATATACCCGTGGAAAGTGAATTGAAAAATGAATGCTTTATTCCATCTACAGAGATACCCGATTTGACAAAACTGAGTGAACCATTGCAGAAAGAATTGACAAGTTTGAAGGAACCTACATCTGAGTTGGAATTGAATTCACAATGTATAACTGAACTGGAAAAAGTGATACATTCTGAGTATTTTGATGCCAGCCCCATCAAGACCCCAGAAAGATACTTGAAGGTATTTTTTCGTAATTATAATTTTCGAATATACAAGGTGTTTGGTATTGACTCGGCCGTTACTTGATACATAGTGACTTTGAAAAACTTCACAAGGAATAAGTTCTGCACAGAATTCCTAATGAAACAACATGTTCATTTGCTAACACAGTAGCTTTCTCAAGTGAGATGCTCTTACAATAAATCACCATTATATTAGTTCGCCTGACTTATACAGGGTGTATCTAAATAACACCGAAAACATTCAATGTGTGATTCCTTGTTGATATTTTAGAATATAAAGTTCATATAAACATGTGTCCTAACTTGCCTCGTTTTCGAGATACAGGGTATTAATATTTCCATGAAAAATCTATTCATTTCTCAATTGTCTTTTCATCAATTTCACTAAAACGTTGTGGTTTTGTTAATAGTAATATGGAGCTTCTTCTAGTGCAATTAGATTCGAAATAATATTTCCAGTAGCGTCACAGTGAGTAAATTTATCGATATTCATGGTGAATGTCATTGTACACCACCGGTTTTTCTGAGTTTCATATTTTCATTAGATTGAACTATTGAAATAACAACTTGTTTATCCTCTGTGTGATTTGTGTATCTAGCTTTGTTTTGAAACAATAAAAATTCGATTTGACTCCAAATTTTAATGTAGATGTTTTCAAGACTTCCATAACTCCATAACTTCAATAATCCCAATTAGAATCATTTTGAAATTTTGGGGCTTTCTCAGTCTCTATCCATACTTAATTTTGGCACCATGAAAGCTTATACAGGGGGGTTATAAAGAAAAAAGTTCATACTCCTAACTTCAACATCCTGTATCTCAAACCCGGAGCAAGTTAGGACACATCTTTATATGAACTTTATTTGCTAGAATGTCACAAGGAAACACCCCTTGAATTTTTTCGGGGTTATTTAGATACACTCTGTATACAGATGTAGAAATATATTGCCAGCATATAGGATTTTAAATGCATGTGGAAAAGAAAATTACTCCAATGATATGTGCTATTTATCGGTGCAGAAATTATTTAAAAACGTCATGCTTCCTCCCAATTCTTAGATATTTGATTCCAATTTGGGGTACCTGTGGATCAGTACTATTTAAAAAAATTGAAACTCTACAAAATAAAGTTGTAAAAGTTTTATTCAAATACCATTACAATACATCATCCAATTTAATTTACCAACAAACCAAAATACTACCTGTTTCTGACGTACTGCAAACTGAACAAGTTAAATTCATATACAATGTAATTAATGATAACCTGAAATCAAATACAACTTTCAACTTCGTAAATCAACTGCATCATCATGATACTCGTAATCATACAAACATATTCCTAGAGCCTGTGAGAACCAATATCGGTCTTAAGAATCCAATTGCACAATGTATGACTACATATAACACTCTACCTTATGATATAACAAATAGTCTAAACATCAAAACATTCAAAACGAATATCAAGAACATGCATTTGATGAAACTTGTAAGTGAACTGCCTTGAACTCTCATCATACATTCTGATTAGATTATCAAAGAATATAGTGTTAGGAAAATATAGGCTAGTTAATCCTTTATCCCGGAAAGTATGCAGAATATCTACATTTGATTTTTTTTGTGACGGATTAACTTGAAAGGAGTGATACAAATATTTACTTGGCAACCAAATTCAAAAGCAACTTTAAGTAAAATGTTCGAATTTTGTAGATTATTTCTAATGATTTCAAATGGTGAACTTTCATTCAGTCATTTTCTACAATACATGTAAAACTTCGAAATCATAGTCAAACTTACGATTTTCTTCTGATATACACGGCGAGTCATTGAAATGGGAAAGTGAGAGAACGGCTTCGCTGTTTGAGATGGTCTAGGCTCATGAGCAGCATATTTCAAAATTACTTTGCGTATACAGGGTGACTGAAATATGCGTGGCGTATGAAAGTTATACTTTTTATCATAGGACTCTCTGTATTTTATTGCATTTTCGGATTCTCCTTTGTGAGCTGATTCCATTAATACATCACACTCGGGATATAGCGGGAATGATTACAGCGATTAACGTGTTCAAAATCGAGATTTTTCAACTTTAGGATTTTTTTGTGTCAAAACTATTAATTATTGGTCAGAACGGCTCACATGTCCCCATCTTAACTTTTGACTCACTATCTACTGATATTTAATTTAGACGAATACAGGGTAGTTCAAATTTCAGAATTATGAACCATCATCTATTCGTTCAAATTGAATATCTAGATAGTAAATCAAAAGTTGAGATAGGGACATGTAAGCCGTTTTGACCAATGATGAATAGTTTCGGGACAAAAAAATCCTAAAGTTGAAAAATCTCGATGAACACCAACAACATTGATGGATACTGTCTGTAGGTTAATCGAGGAGGTGGTATATTCATTATTCCAAATTTTTTTGGGATTTTCTCTCCTCGTTTCTATAAAATATTGTCAGTGACAAGCTAGTGAATTTTTCTTTTAGGCTCTCTGATAGGAAAATTCTTTAAACGCAGTGACATTTTGGGGCAAATCATCTGATTTGTCCTTACTACACGTATATTGAAATAATATTCATATTTTTATTTTATAGAAACGAGGAGAGAAAATCCCAAAAAAATTTGGAATAATGAACATTGATGGAATCAGCTCACAAAGGAGAAACCGAATATGCAATGAAATACAGGGTGTCCCATGAAAAAAAAAGTATAACTTTGATACGCCACGCATTCTTGAGTTACCCTGTATAACGCTAAATATTTTGAGAATGTGCTGCTCATGAGCCTAGACCATCACAAAAATTTCTGTCCAGCTATCTTTCTTTCCCATTTCAATGACTCACCCTGTATGGTTAGAATATAATGAATTTGTTTTATTTTTGAGAACGAAACCACAGTTCAGTTTATACAGGGTGTTTAAAAAAAGTTTGTTTTGCTCAGTAAAAAAATGTAACGGCATCTTTTTTGAAATCAAAATATTCCGGCTTTGAACTATCAGCCGCGGCAGTCAATCTACTACTTTCTTGCCGTGTGAAACATATAATTTTTTCTCCAATGTTGTAATAGTTATTTTCCTAACAAGTGCGCAAAGTGTTACTTTTCCGCACGCAAATACAGTATTTAAAAAAAAATAGATTATAACTTATTGAAAAATGTAACTATACAACAATCACATATAACAATAAAATATAATAATAGAAAATCACATTTTCCCTACGAGCTTCATATCAGATAACAACGAAAATAAATGGTTCGCATCAAGTAGTTTTACACAACTTTTTTGAGGTTAGATTTTCCAATCCGAATTCACTGTGAACTTGAACATCATTCAATTTTACACCAAAAAGGAACTCTTGGTAAAACTCGATTCTATGTACCGTTTTCGGAATAGTTTGATTTGAAAATGATGTGAAAGTGATATTGCTGGTTTAAAACTATGTATTAGAGTATAAGTATTGTGAAAAACTATTATCTATTTATTGAGAACCGAAAAAAACTATATACAGGGTGTCCGCTAAAAGGAGGTCAATCCATTAACCATGTATTCCTTGAACAAAAATAATATGAGTTTCTAAATACCATTTTTCATTTTAGCCCTTCTTATTCGATATACAGGGTGTCAAAGTTGAAAATTAAAAACTGTTTTTTTCTAATTACTCGCGTAATTAATAAGATATTATTCTCAAAATAGGTACATTACTTCAGCACAAAGAGTTACATCGTGTGAGGAAAACAAAACAGAAAATAACTGTCAAATATTCAAAATACTGGGGGTCAAGTACACACTTACCCCCTTATTTTTTTTGTACGTGCGCTAATGACTTCCTATCTATTTTTCTTCATGTGTTCAATCATTTTTGAGTATTTTTTGATTTTTGTAAAATTCCGATAAAATTATTTGTTTTTAAGATAATTCGAAAAGTACTGGTTATTGTTTGATGCCTATGCGGCTTAGGTAATCTCATAATGTTCACATACATTTATTTCGTCGAAATTGAAAGAGGGCGTATCTTTTTACGTACGAAAAGGTGAATATGGAAATACCGGGTGCTCGGAGCAAATGTACTAAAATAATTTAAAAAAAAAAAAAAAAAAATTAAAAGAGTAAAAATTATTTTAATACATTCGCTCTGAGCACCCGGTATTTCCATATTCACCTTTCCGTACGTAATAAGATACGCCCTCTTCCAATTTCGACGAAATAAATAGGAGTATGTGAACATTATGAGATTACCTAAGCCGCATAGGCATCAAACAATAACCAGTACTTTTCGAATTATCTTAAAAACAAATGATTCAATCGAAATTTTACAGGAAACAAAAAATACTCAAAAATGATTGAACACTTGAAGAAAAATAGATAGGAAGTCATTAGCGCACGTAAAAACAAAATATGGGGGTAAGTGTGAACTTGACCCCCAGTATCTTGAATATTTGACAGTTATTTTCTGTTTTGTTTTCCTCACACGATGTAACTCTTTGTGCTGAAGTAATGTACCAATTTTGAGATTAATATCTTATCAAATACGCGAGTAATTAGAAAAAAACAGTTTTTAATTTCCAACTTTGACACCCTGTATACCGAATATGAAGGGCTAAAATGAAAAATGATATTTAGAAACTCATATTGTTTTTGTTCAAGGAATATGTGGTTAATGGATTGACCTCCTTTTAGCGGACACCCTGTATATCCCCAATGCTGAACTTATTGATTGAACAATGAATCACAACGATAACATTGAAATAAATTTGGAGGAAAAAGTCTATGCTTCAGAGGTAAATTCTCGTCAAGAGTTGCAAGATAAAATTGTACAGGGTGGCCAACTAAGAATCCAGAGTTCGATACCTCTGTTGTCTTGAGAGATACAAAAAAAAGTTTCTCATTCAAATTAAAGTGATAACCGAGCTTCACATTTCAAAATTTCTTTGAAATACACAGGGTGTTCCGTAAGGTCACAGCACATCAAAGCTATGTTTTTTCATTGGAACACCC